CCCCCGCCGGGGCGCCAGGGGGGGCTACAGCTGGGCCACTGCCAGGAGGTCCAGCTGGGGGGCGGGGGGGGGGGGGCAGGCCTCAGCCTCGGTGAGCTCCCCCCCTTAGGCCCCCACACGTTAACAGTGTCGTTAACACGCCGGCTGCCTCAAAGCGAAAAACTGGTATGGAAAAGCCTATCTATTGAGGTCCAACCGGGGGAGCTGCCTCAGGGCATCGCAGTCCCATTTCCTGCCACTACCTTCTTGTTTAAAGCTGTTCCTCCTTTTTATAAAGCCCACAGGATGAGCTAACGGTGGGTCCTAACCCTAACCCTGAACTGTTAACTATTCTCTGCTCAATCCCCGATGGGACCTTATTTTACCAAGTCAGCTGTAAAAAAAAAAAAAAAAAAAAAAGTGGGGATTGTGAGGGCGGATGGCTGTTAGAAACATGTTCCAGAGGGAGTCAGGTAATATGAAGGGTCTTTTTAAGAAACAAAACAAAAAAACAAAATGTACCTGGGCTGTTTTTGACCTCCTTGTTGGACAGCGAGCACCTGTCGTGTCCCAGCGGCTCTGCATTCGGAGACAGTCTGTCAGGAGGAGCTTCAGGTTGGGCCGTTTCACGCCCTGAGAGACTAAACCTGGATTCACCTTTGACTGTAGAGCCGCTGCCACCAGAGGAGCTGAAGATTCCAGTGGTTCCCTTCATCACACGGTCAGCTGGTGAGCTGATGGGGGGGGGGGGGAAATCTGGACCGATCTGGAAGGCAGCATGTACTGTCAGAGGGCTCACTCATAAGGTTGTCAGTAAATGTCCCCCTTTAGTTGAACAGCATGAATGAGATCAAAATGGACGAAGTGCTAGCAAATGCTCCATTTTTGTTCTTTTAGGAGTAAGAGAACAAACACACACTCGCACTTATTCTTTAGAGACTAAGACCTTGTAATTGCAAAGTAATTACACAGTAAATAAAAGGTCTCCATCTCCAGACCGGCGCAAATGCCTGGATTTGTGCCGGTCGGGCCCTGATTAGATTTTTTTTTTAGATATTGGCCATTTTAAAAAAAAAAGTGTACATTCTTTTTTTTTATAAACCTTTAAAGGCAGCTCTGACACAAAGTAGTAGCGGCTTCTGTTTAAACAAAAGTGATCATTCAGCCACACGGAGCTCGCACAGCTCCGCTGTCGTCACTCTTCAGACTGTTTGAATCCATGTTTCTATGGGACAGGCTAGAGGGACAGGACAGAGTATTCTGAGGTTTTGTTATTAAGAAAAAAAAAAGGGGGAAGAAAAGGTTGCGTTTCAATGCTTTATTATAGCTGATTTTCACTTTGTTCCCTCGGCATTCGCTCATCGCACAGAGCTGCAATTAGTTGACACAACCTATAAAAAAACGAGCTGAGACGTAACAAGGCAGAGTATTAGTATTAAGGAAGAACACCAAAATAAAGTAAATGAGTCAAACTCCAGTTCAGCCCTGTGAGACCCTGAGATGGCTCATCTGGGAGAAGGACGGCCTTCAGACTGGGGAGTGCGTTTTCCGCCAGGTCATGTGAGCGTGACTGAAGGCCGCTGAGAAGCCGACTGGATGACCGGGTGACCGGATGACTGGGTGACCGGTGTGTGAGGCCCTGAGACGCCTTGCCGATGCATCTGCACTTTTCGTAAAGGCACTTCTTTGTTAGAATTTGTCTAGAATTGCTCACTTAAGCATTGTATGCTATCCCATGATCCACGTAAATGACACACACGCACACACACAATTTGTTATCACATTCCAGGGCATCTGCATGAATTAGGACCTGGCCTGTTCGTGTCAGAGCTAACTGGCCAATAGCATTTGGTTGAGTCCAGTCCTCCTTTTCTAAGGGGTCCAGCCCAGGAGATAAATGTCCATCACGCCCGGATTTCGGGGCTCTTTGCCGACTGAGACCCTCAGGGAGCTTTGTCTGTGAGGAGCCAAGCGCTGATATACTTTACCTGTGACCCAATAAATGTCCTTTTTGTACTCTTGATCTGCTCTGGTTTATTCTCAGGCTTCCAGCTAAAGTTTCGGGCTGACTTCTCTTTCATGTGAGAAGGAAAATCTGATTCTGACTTTGTGTTGGACATACCGGGGGCATGTGACAGCGTGAATCTTTTTTTCCGGAGTCTGCATTTGAGTGTGAACCGCCTTTTAAAAAAAACTGTCTAAAAAAAAACAAAAATTACAAAAAAGGAGCATCAACAAGTGTTGCTTAAAGCCTTCACTTCCTGCCACTGCTTTGTGAAACGCGAACTTCTGATCAGCCGACCCGATAAGCATCCTGTCTGAGTGGGGGGGGGGTTGTTGGGGAGTGTTTTCGGGTGCTCGGGGCGACTGCTCCCCCCGCTGCGACTGACAGAGCCACCCGTGTTGGGTTTGAGGCCACTGACAGCCGAGGTAAAAAAAAAAAAAGCTGCTCAGGAATTTGAGAGATGCTGGTTGTGGGGCGGCGTGGCCTTCCACTCGGAGCCCTCCACTTTGTTTGGGTGCATTTCTAACATTTCATTCAGAAAAAAAAACTGGTCTGAACAGGGATCACTGTGATGCAAAACATAGAACAAGCCTGAGATGAAGAGAGACTTTCGGGAGGGGATTAGCTCTGGCTTTGTCTCTGCACTGCCCCCTTCAGCCTGATTAATGAGCTCCACCCACGCGGCCTCTGCCGGATGGACTCATTTAAAAAAAGCCAAACCCTGTCTCCTGGTTCGTCAGCGGCATATTCGGCTCACTGTGCCGCTGAACCGGTGGTGGCCTTCTCCTCTTCCTCACATTCTTTGTCATTGTTCCTCACATTCTGGCTGTACAGTAGCGCAAAAGGGGAGAGTCAGAATGTTTAAGGCTTCAAACTGTCCAATCTGGTAAAGCTGATGGTTACAGATGCTCAGGGACCCTGGAACACCCCATAATTCTGCTGGGGGAGGGGCTCCCATGATGCACCTCTCCTCCCTCTGCTCTCTTTCTTCTCCAAATGATTGCCATCATCCACCTGGCCCGGGGCTTCTTCAGTAGTCTAGTCCAGTGTGCTTTCGAGTCATATTTAAAAAGCTGTTCAAAGACAAATTCAGTGAGCTGGGGGGGATTATTTGGAGTTCAGTTTTGGCCCGTGTCTTCTTCCCTCGACGCCCGAAAAGAAAAGCTGAACGCCGAGTTCCGCCCGGAGAACGTCGAGCTGTCCGAGCTGTCCAGTCAAAGCCGGACCGGCTCTCCTCTCCCATGCCGGCGTCCGCTGGTGATCCCGTTCCCGTCCACTCTGGTCGTGGGGCGGGCAGAAGGGGGACGCGGTCTGGTGTCGGGCTCCCCGTGCTCTGCACACTGCCGGCCTGTCCGGGCGCCCCCCCCCCACCCCGCCCCCCCTCGGGCCCGGCCTCCGTACAGAGAGCTCATTCTTGGAGCACAACGGCTACCTTCTTCTCCTCATGCTGGTCTCCAGGTGGCCCAGCTCCTCGTAGGCCTGGTAGAAGTCCTCCAGCTCGCGGCAGCCCCAGGCCCGCCAGACAACCAGGCACCACTCCGTGTTTTCCCTCTGAAAGCCGCACACAACCGTGTCCTTCGCCACCAGTGCTGCCTCCTGGAGGATCCTGCGGGAAAAGAGAGAAATCACAGTGAGGAGGGGGGGGGGGGGGGGGGAGGGGCGGGGCCGGCCGTTAGGGAGAGGGCTCCGCAGACAGAGTGGAGTGAGGGAGGTACAGTCTGTGGGCTGTAATTTGCCCTTCCTAGAACCCAGTGGGCGGTTCCGGGGAGCGGCTTCCTCCGAAAGCTGCCGGCGGACAGTGAGCGCACTGTCGGTGCAGCTGACTTCCTCCATTTTCTGTGGTGAAAATGTTTTGCGAAAGCAAGCTGCCTGGAGCTGAGCTGGGAGGGCTGTGACACATGTGGGGCCTCCAGCAAGCAGCTTCAGCTCGTCGTTTTGTAATGGCGGGGCTTCAAAACGCCAGAATTCAGGGCCATCAGTGGGAGCCACCGGTTCCCTGAAAGGCTCCCCGCAGGAAGCCGGCTTACCCCAGAGAGCAGCTTCCGGGTGGACTCAGCACGGCCATGACACGCCCCCTCTGCTCGTCAGCGTGTGACTGCATCTCTATGACCACGGTATCTCCCCCGCGCCTGCCGGGCAGCACACACAAAACAGCCGGGATCAGTTTCTGAACACAATCGAAGGCCGCGAAAGGCTCCAATCGGCTGGAACTGAAGGTGCAGATGTGCGCTCCCGTGACTGTTTCACCTGTCCATTTAAAGCCTCGGTTCTAAAAGCTGGCTTCTGGATCCCTGACTAACCGAAGCTTCGCTAAAACGTGGAGAGCGGGAGCTGGAAACACCTGAAAAATTGGTATTTACATTTTCTGTGTTTTAGTACGCCAAACAATTGAATTCATCCTATAGTTTTTGTTCATTTCGAGAATGTAGCTACAAATAAATCAATATTGCAAAAGTTCTGATGAGTGCGGCGAAGCTTCCACTGAAATGAGACCTGGACACAGACCAGGGGGAGCAAACGCACCCGGCGGACGGGTAATGGGACGGACAGCTGCATGAATGCGGTCACTAGCGTGTGTTTTTTGACACGTGTGACGTTAGACTGCTGCAGGTGTTTTAGTTTCTAAACCGATGTGGGCCTGGCTCGTCACTGAAAGCCAGCGGCTCTTGCTGCCCTAGCTGCCGTCTGGGTGTGCGTCCCGGCCGGGGTTTGCTTGTACCTGGGGATCCACAGAGCCCCGCCCACGGGCAGCAGGGCAAACGCCTGCAGCTGCGGCGCCCCGCTGCTCTCGGGGTGGGGGTCCCGGACGGCGTCCTCCGGACCTGCGGGCCACGGCGCGAAGCCTCCGCTGTCGGAGGGGCCTTCGGTGCCGGGGGAGTCCGGCTCGAGCGGCTCCAGGGAGCAGTTGGACAGTATGGAGCAGTAGTCGGTCAGGGAGTCCTGGTGCTGGATGATCTGGGTGCCGGCCTCCTCGCTGTAGATCAGCGTCACCTCTCCGTTGGTCCGTTCCTGCCTCTTGCGCGGGTCCGTGGCGCAGAGCTCCGAGCTCCCGGCCCCGCTGATGCCTGGGGGACGCTTCACGGTGAAGACGTCCCGCAGAGGACTGCTGTCCCCGCAGCTGAAACGACAGGGAGACCTTTAGAGGAGCACTCGGCTTGCCCAGGGGGCGGAACGGGACCTACCAGTAGGTGGCGCAGAGCTCGTAGGAGGCGGCGTGCATCAGCAGCAGGGTGTTGGAGCAGTCGTCCAGGAGCCACACCGCTTCCCCCCCCCACAGGCTGAAGCTGGTTGCCATGGAGACGACGGAGGACGGATGGCTGTAGGGCTCCAGCCTCCGCACTGCCTCCAGGCTCGCCAGGTTGACGACAAGCACGCCGGGACCGTTGGAGAACCACAGCTGGCGGACACGAGGGAGGATCAGGTGGGGACGGCTCCGGCCAGCCCGAATCGGGATTCTGAATCCGCGCGGGGATTTTTACCGCTCACCTGGGAGCCGCCGCTGACCAGGACCATGCTCCGGACCGGGTAGGGCTTCTGCCTGGCATCCGAGTCCTTCAGGCCAAACAGGGTCTTGTTTAGAGTGTGTGAGCACAGGTAGGTCTCCCCGTCCAGAGGAAGTTCCTCCACCAGGCTGTACACGGCCACCAGGCCGTCGGACATCCCCGCAAACACTTTTCCCAGGCTCTGGAAAGGACGAGAGGACGGCATAGGGAGTTTTTACCTTTAAATCAGGCTCTGGTTCAAGTCGAGTGCACAGGTTTTAACTCATTCGCTGCCAAAGACGTCTATAGACGTCTTTTCAAATCCAACCGCTGACTGCCAAAGACGTCTATAGACGTCTTTTATGTTTTTCAATGCGAGTGGCTTGGGGGACGATCGGCGAAAGTTTTCCCGTAAATATGGGCTTCTAGACAGAGTATGGAATAACAAATTTACCCTTTAGGGGGCAGTGCCATTTTTGATGGGAGATTAGCATAGATTGTAAGCAAATAAAAACAAACGCAATAGTTCGCTATGAGAGAAATGGCGCCGGTGAGACGCACGTCGAAGAAGAACGGAATAAGGTAGAAACAAAATCTTTTTTCCTGATGAAAGAAAAGAGTCTACTCTTTCTTTTGGTGTGTTCGGTGTTTACATAGTCATAGCACAAACTATTCTGTGGCTCTTGAAAAATCAGTCAAAATTCTCAAAAAACTCTGGCAGTGAGCGACTCTCTGTTCTGAAAATGGCTGGCAGTCAATGAGTTAATGATGAAATACGATGCTACAATGTGTGCATATTTTAACAGAATGCAGAAACAGAACTTTGCTTCCAACGCTCGATTTATTTTAGTCTATCTCAGCACCTTTTTAGCAGCATGTTATTATGGACATTTCTAAATGGTCCATAATTTAGTGGCCTATGTGCAATTTAAAACCTAAAAAGGTTTGCAGAAGAAAATGGCTTTTAAATAGCTGTCTACCGTAGTGAGCACTACGCATGAGTGGGTTAAAGTCCTTCAGTAACACATTTGGACCCTACTGGATATGTCAAAAGGAAACAATGAGGATCTTATTGCTCTTATACAATCTCAGAGGAGCTCAGTGGCCAGCTGCTGTTGGTCAGAGACTAACAAAAAGGGTTATAGAGGAGAACATCCGCAGTTCTTGGGTGTCTGCTGAGCTGTGAGCTGTGGGCTATGACCTGTGGGTTGTGGGCTGACCTGCTCTCCTGGTGGAACATGGAACAGGCAGGTGATGACAGCTGGACAGGAGAACATTTTCTGGGGCTGACTGAGGGGACACATGTCCTTCAGACTGTAGATGAACACCTCTTGTTCCTATCGCAGACACATAAGGACTCATTATAAATATCCAGTAAATATATTCACACACACACATACAAATGTTTCCATATCCTGTGAATGTGTTACTTGGTACCTCGGTGGCCATCCACAGAGAGTTGCGCATCTTCATCTGGCAGCTGATCCGGCTGCCTGGACAGGACATCCTCTTCACCTCCACCTGGCCCTTTTCCACATTCACCACACTGTAGTTCCTACACAACACACAGTCATTTGCTGATTAGAAGAAGTTGTTCTAACAGAAAACCAGAAACGGAGTACAAGACAACAACAGCTGTGGGGGACCACCCACAGAAGTAAGAGGAGGGAGGCCTTCCTCGTGGACTGCTTTGACCTGTGGGAATACCTGGGGTGTTGTCTTACGTTTGGGTCAAAGCTCAGTCAATAAGTGTTTTTCTGTCTGAACCAATCCTAATTAGAACCAACACAAATTACAATCAAAATTCATAAATGAAATTAAATAGACAAATCAATCAGTTTGTTATTTTCCAAACAATGTCAGGCCTATCAGAAGTAACGGCTCCGTTTACAATGCGGTTTTCCCCCTTGTTGTGATGAGATATTCCATTCATTTCCAGTTTGGTGGACATGACAGATGTGTGTGAGTGAGATGTAGTTAAAAAATTAACAGTAAATATAAAACTTTGTGTGTTTTTTGCTTAGTTCTGGGAATGAGTTGGGAATTCATCTATACCATCCCATCTTAGTACAGCATCAAACAATGAGAAAAACTCATCTCCCTGATTTGCGCCGAGGATATTAAACTAGTTCCACTTTAAATCTTCAAGTGAAGCGTGATCCAATCAGTGAAGAATGTAAATAAGTAAAGAGGTTGCTTCACTGAGTGCGCAGTAAAACCCGACCACAACAATGCGGGATCAATCCAGAGCAAAATTGCTCACTGCCTATGGACAAATACAATCCTGCATGTCACCAGCATCATGGTGGCAGATCTAATCAGCCACGTGTCCCAACACGCCATGTCAGAGGACAGAGGTTCCTCCATCGTTGGAAGCTATGTGGAAGCTGCAACTGTCGGTTTTCAAATGACCATTGTGCGCTGTAGAGTAAAACTAATAAAGAACAAAGGATTTTGTCTGAGACGAGTTCAAAGCCGCTCATAAAGTGTCATTTATTACAAATGATAATGTGTGTTGAGGGTGCATGAAGGTCTCATGTGTCCAGGAATGATTCGTCTAGTAGTGTTCTAAGCTTGCAGTTTCCTGTCTTTGCCAACACAGAGGAGGAAGCAGAGCTTGCAGGTGATGGTCCGCCTTGTAAGACGTGGAAAAGCATCTCATGTGAGCAGAAGAACAACACCCTGCACACACTTTTTAGGAAGAAGTGTGTGTGCAAAGAGATTCCAAGCATGTATTCACACTGATTCATGCTCAGAAATGCAGTGAAACAGCTTTCCTGAAGGTAAGGAATGCTTGTTAGAGAAGGTCTTGGCAGTTCTGCCACACATAGGAATGTGACCGACTGGCCTTGAAGTGCACTGGAGGCTGGGCTGGTTGTCAGAGGTTTGGCCTCCTAACAGCCATACAGAGACACTTAACACTTGTAGCTGGTCACTTTCGCCCAGTTAAGCTTCATTATGCGTCCATCCTGCTTTTTCTCCTCTTATTTTCACACCAGAGTTCTAAAAGAATACTTTATAATATCATATTAGACCCAGCAGAAGCTGAACAAAAACAAATCTCAAGCATAATTTTTAGCCAGAATAAAAAAAGAAGGTGCATTATTTTGTCCAGAAAAGTTATTTGGCATCAGTAAAAGCTTTGTAATTCAAAACGTGTACTTTAAAAAAAGGTTCTCAGCGCAAACTGACAGGGCAGAGCTGACACCCACCTGTTTTCCTTGTCTCCGTCCCAGAACACGGCGCTGCACCCCTGCAGCTGGGACAGGAACAGCTGGGACTGGCTGTCACATGGCAACATGTACTTGAGGCAGGGGAAGCTGGGCTGCTGCATCTCCCTCACACACTGCGACGCCACAGGCCTCTGCACGCACACAAAGACACGCTCCTTCATCACCTCAAAGGGAACGTGGCAGCTGTTTCCAGTGAGCAAGTCAGGCATTAACAAGAAATGCACCCCGCACGAGGACAGGGTCCCAGAAGAGGTTTCAGAATCAATTCACTTTTTTTACTTGAGTACTGGGTTTTTAATGGATTAGTCCAGTCTTTACAAACCCCTACGAAGCAGGGGGTGTATGGTTTAAATCAGGCTCATCAGGCCGGACCGGGAAGGCTCACTTTCTCTGGCTTGGTGTCCCAGCATTTGGTCAGCATGTTGTGGAGGCTGTGGAACTGGATCTGCTCCGGACTCCCCAGCACCGGTCGAATGCCTTTGGAGAGCTTCTTGGCGATCTGGAGCTGATGGTGCCCCAGTGCTGGCCTCCTCCCAGAGAGCAGCTCATACAACACCATGCCATAGGAGAACATGTCCACCTGCGGGGAGTGGGGATGGAAGGACGAAACAGTACAGTGCGAGCTGTGAGTGTTACAGTGTCCTGATGCAAAGACATCAATGTCCTAATGCCACCAAACAAGCTCCAACCCTTCTGTTCTCTGCTCTTATTGACTCTCTGTATGACGGGTTAGTTTCCCTCTAAGAATAAAATCTGCTGATTGCTGGGCAGAGGGAGGGACAAAGGCTAATTTTCAGTATGAATGTAACCACAAAATCCTGACCTAGAGACATCCGTGGCCTGGTCGATCCACTCAGGAGCAGGAACATTTCAGACATAACCTTCTCAGGAGCACCACGCGCTATCCCGCCATTTAGCAATAGACCTCTATGATGTTGAGGAAAAGGAGGCCTGCTGAGTCTACACTCATTAATTTTTAATGTGATGGCGAATCCACGAGCTACTAAACATTTCCAAAATCAGTCCAAAGAACAACCAGGGAACAATCTAAATCATACAGGAAGCCAACACAGGTTTTAGTTCCCTTAGAGCCCCAGAAACCTTAGAAAATTACAGATGATAGCTGTTTGAGAGGTGGGAACCGTTGAGGGTACCTTCTCATCATACACGATGCCCGGACGGACCTCGGGAGCCTGGTAACCCGGCGTGCCCTCAACTCCCAATGCTCCCTCATGGAAGGACTGCCGGGAAATGCCGTAGTCAGACAGCTTGACGTTCACTGGATCCTTCACCTGGGGGGGAGGACACCCTGAATCTGCTTCTTATAAACGTTTAAAACAAACCTTTAATCTGAGACTTTGTTGTGTGTTTTGGGAGGGGAAAAAAACAGCAAAAAGCAACAAAGACGTGTCGAGGATGAGACCATTTCCGTGACATATCAGGGAGCCACACACCTTCAGAGACCACACCAAGATGTTGTCAGATTTGAGGTCACAGAAGATGATACTCTTCCTGTGAAGGTATGCCAGCCCCGCTGCGATCTGATAGGCCATTTTGAAGGTTAGCATGTGTCCAAGGGGAATGTACCTGGTGCCTGTTGGGAAAGCGTAACAGGTTTCATTAAAACTGCATTAACATAGACGAATGAGCGGCTTCCAGGAGGAAATCTCATAATAGCGACCTGTGTTGGCGTTCTGGCCTTTGTTTTCCTCCAGCACAGTGTTAAGGCTTCCCAGCGGAGCCAGCTGCAGGGCGAAGCAAAGAGGATGAATGCTGATGCCCACCAGGGAGACGATGCAGGGGTGCTGCAAAGAATGCAGCATGCTGGCCTCCTGGCGGAACTCTGAGAAGCTTTTGGACGCATTTCCACACTGCAGGTGTTTTACCATGGAGTCTGAGAGAATGGAGAGAAAAAAACAAGGGTAAGGCCCTAGTAAAAATCTACAGGGGACTACGAAAGAATCTTCTGTCTCTGCATTTAAAAAGGAACAACTGAGTTCAGTGCTGTGAAGATTGCGTTTGAACTCTGAGACATTTAACAAGTTAAAGCTTTTGCCTTGTAAATGTAATTTCATGAAAACTGCAGACGTCGTGAAGCAAAGCAAGGAACTCTCTCCCACTCTGTGAATTTCCTCCTGAGACTGCAGTGGCCAAATCACTTCATGCATTTGTTAAATGCTGGATGGACAGTTTTAATCTTCCAGTGCTGTCCATCTTTCAGATATACCTTTACTATAGTGGTTGTGTGATACACACTAGGTCTTATTATTATTGATTCAGCTTATAAAACAACCAAGAAAATCCTTTTAAAAACAATTTTGTTAGAAATCAGAAGTATTCAAAAAGACGCGAGTAGCATGAGCCTGTGAACCTGTGTCCTTGCTGCCGATGTGCTGCAAACTATTCTTAAAGTGGAAGCGCTTCACAGCCACGGGCTGGCCCTGATATGATGCTTTGTAGATGATGGTCCCACTGCCACCCTGGCCCAGGATGGCCCTCTCCTCCTCAGAGTACTCCAGCTGAGTCTTCTCCAGAAAGAGCCTGACACACAGCCAAGCAGAAAGGCTCTGGATTAGCATCCACAGCAAGCCCTGAAAGCCCGCATTTCATTCATCAGCCTGAGGGATTCCTGCCTTAATGTAGCACTATTTCAATGCATGGACACAGAGATGAATCATTACCAAAACAAGACCACTTTCCTCTGGTGATATTTCTTGTCAGGTTTTTCAGATTTTACCAATCTCATGCTCATTGCTACGTCAGCCTAACAGAGACAGATGTTCCTTCTGCAAAATAACCTCTAAGGGTTATGTGGTGCAAAACATGCAGAACATCACTTTTAATTGAGCGGGTAAACTTAAACACCTAAAGAAGAGGACTATTCTTATCTAAGAGCCATGGTATACAATGACATGTCTAGTGGTCTGAAATAAAGGATTGGGTGTGGACTGATGCCCTCTGTATGCTGGGTGGACTTTCCTAAGAGTTTACCGTGCAGGGAAGTCAGTCATGAAAAGCTCTGGGACCAGCTCTTGTAGAGGCACTGGCTGATCAGGGTGCTGAGGGCAGATGATGTGCTCCTTCTCCACGGCAGCCAGCACACAGTCCTCCATGTTAAAGTAATGAATGGCTGCTCCGTCTTCCCCGTGCGCTCCTCTTTCTCCGACCTGATTGGGCCAGGTGGGCAGCAGATCGGGCTGCTTCTGTTGAGCGCGGGAGGCGCAGAGAGAACAGTGCACGTACTGCTCAATGAGGAGGCTGCCGTCACTCTCGCTGGCTGTCAAAGCTGGAGGAGATAACGTAGAGGCAGAAAGGAATTAGCAGCGGTTCCTGTTCTGAACTGGTCCTGGACACAGCACCCACACCTGCCTGTGTAGTGATGGCTTTACAGAAAGATGAACACTGATGAGTGTGCTCCAGAGCAACCCCCCCCCCCC